GCCGCCGCCCGCCCGCCGCCGCCGCGAGCCCAGGGGCGGGGCGTGCGGTGGGCGGGGCATATGGTGGGCGGGGCGTGTGGTGTGGGCGGAGCATGTGCGGTGGGCGGAGCCCGCGGGTCCCGGGCCACGCCGAGGTCTCTCCTTCTTCTCCCCCGGGGCTGCCCGGTTGCCCGGTGCTTGCCCGCTCTTCTCGGAAGGAAAGAGCACCGTAGACTCTCCCCGGAGAGGAGGGGAAGGGCTGGGAAACGGGTGGTAAAGTCAGACCCCGAAGAAGCGGCGGGGAAGGTAGGAGAGATGGGAGAAAAAGGGGGCAGAGCGGTAGGCTAGAAAGAGGGGGCCCAGGGCTTTCTGCTTGCAGGGGTGTAGGGCAGCAGGGTGGGGAGACATACCCGCCCCGTGGTTCTCACCAGCTCAGGGCAGGTGGAATTCTCAGAGAAAAGCCCTGAATGAAAGTTGGAGTCTGTTCTGGGTGGGGTTTTTTTTCTGCTCAGTCCCTGAAGGATGGGAGAGGACTGCAAGCAGGAACTGAAAACAGGTGGGACTGAACTCAAGTGTAACTTCAGCTAAAAGAAAAATAACACCAGGCAACCTCATTTCTGGATCCTAAAGAAAAAAAAAAACCACCAGGCAACTTCATTTCTGGATCAAAAAGAAAAAAACACCAGGCAACTTCATTTCTGGATCAAAAAGAAAAAAACACCAGGCAACCTCATTTTTGGATCCTAAAGGAAAAAAAAAAACACCAGGCAACATCATTTCTGGATCCGAAAAGAAAAAAAAAACAAAACACCAGGCAACCTCATTTCTTGATCTTGTTCAGGCTTAGACGTAGGCTGCTGTAGGCAGAAGCAGTTCTCGGCAGTCCTAGGGGCATAAGCTGCGGCAGTGGGGGACATGGAAACATCAGACAGCGGAGTATGCGTGGGATGTAGGTGGCTCCCGGTGTAGGCACAGGGCCAGGGCGGGCTTTGAAGATAAGGACATTTGGAATTGCAGGCAGCACTTCTCAGGAAGCTGTGGAAGAAGTGGAGGAAGGGTGCGATACAATCTCAGGAACCCACGACATTGAGGAGATGGATTGTCACGAGAGCTGGCTTGCATGCTTAGTGTGATGGTCTGACAAGGGGTGGGGAGAAAGCACACTGTTAAATGTTATTTTGCTAAACATTTTTTTCATTTCCAATTAGGCAAGGTGGGGGGTAATAGCTACCTCTGTGGACGACTGATCCATCACCCAGATGTTGAGCTTATTGTTGGCAGTCCCTCTCTCCACTTTTTTTTCTCTGTTAATGGGCTCTATATCCCTTTCTCCAGTCAGCTCTCATGCTTAGCACCCTCCTTCTTCTATTCCACTGTTTCATTCTATCACTCCACAGCCCCACAGCTGTAACAAGTGAAAAATAAATTCTCCAAATGGCTTATGCAGCCTCCCCTGTCAGTGCCCGGGATAAGCTGTGGTATAAATCACTGGAAAAGCTACTATGTAGAGAAAAAGGAAATGAAGTATTGTCTTGGTTTTGCAACGACCGAGCTGGCTGCTCAGGATCCCCCAGACCTGCCTGACAGCATCTTCCTGATGTCTCCTAAGGGAAAGCAGGATCAGGAATGTTTTCTCAAGTGTCTTTTCCAGGGTCCATAATCACACTGACTCCGTTCACGACCACAGGTCAAAGACACAGAGTAGATAACCCTGTGCTGTGGTTCCCTCTGATAAAACCGTTTTGACCAGAACTGCCGGAGAACATTTCCACCAACCTAACGCTGCTGCAGCAGGCAAGGCTCAAGCTGTGACAAACCCACCCCTCCTCCCTGCAGAGTGCCTTTCCAGCAGCAGCCAGGCTCTGTCGATGCTGCTGAACGCCCTGCATTCCTCTAGCTTCAAGCAGTGCCAGGCACCGCAGCTCGCTGAGCCCATCTTTCCGCCCTGTGAGAGAGCTGCAAGCTCTTCCTGGCTTCGTTCCACCAAGTGCCAGTCCTGCTCAGTTAACCTTCAGCAGTCCCTCAGACAAGGCGTGGAGCCAGGCAGACCAGCGGATGGTCTCTGTGCATCCTCTGGAAGCCACTCTGGCAGACACAAACACAAGCAGCAGCATATTCACATACCTGAGAACAGCCTGTAACCACTAGAGTGTTTAAGATGATCCATATATGCATTAAAAGTCTGTAACTCCAAACATGCCAATCACAGATTAAAAACGGACCAAATCCCAGTAACACATTGGATTCCTTTGCTATGCTATGAACCAGAACTGATCAAGGAGATACTGCCCTGCCAGAGGTTCTCCTGTTGTGTATCACATCTATCTTACCACATGTTCTGGGCAAGATTTAGGCTTTGGATAATAAGAAAGCAGGAGAGAAGTTGCTGTTGACAGTATCCTCGGTGTGCTGCTGTTGGTAAATACACCCAGACAGAAGTGGCAGCCCTAAATATAAGAAGGACCAGAGGGTCCTTTGTATGATACCCAGCTCCCTTGGGCTGCTGCAATGCAGCAGTATCTCAGTCCTGTAATTTCTTTAATCATATGGCTGCCTCAAATCCTTCAGAACTGGAGGCAAGTCCTTGGCATGCACAATAGTAACAGCAGCAGCTAGAAGGCCAACAGAAGTTGCCCATTTAATCTGACTCTGCGCTGCCTGTACCTTGCCTGCCTGAGTTACAGGAGTTTGGGATGGGAAACGCACTTTTGAGCAGTATCTAGGACACTAGAAACTTGACCCTCATTCAAACACAACTCAACAAAGGCTAATTATTCCTGACTTCTAAACAGAATTGTGTACGAAGCCAAGCTGGACTGCCAGGACCCCTCTCTCAGTGGAAAGGAACGAGAGGGAGAGGTACAAAGAGGCAGATGGTATATATGAACCACGCTTTGTCTAGCTTTCCTATGACACATGCAGGTTTTTCCTCTTGCACCTGCTTCTACCACTCAAACACCAAACTATTTAAAGACAGCAAAACATGAAGGGAGAGAGGGTGTGGAGGGCAGATGAGATGCGATTCATTCTTTGCATTCTCTTCCCCAGTATTCACAGGTCCTCGATTCCCCTTTATAGGGCTAGTATTCAACTGCCTTTTCTAAGGCACTGCAAGTTTGCCTTGAAGAATCCAAAGTGGCTGAGAGCTGGGAAAATTAGCATTTAAAGGGTTTTAATAAATTAAACACCCTCAGGGAGTTTTCTGGAGAAACTGAACTCCATTAAATTAAGGGCCAGGACTCGGGCATCACTTGTGCTGAAATAAAACACAACCTCCAGCAAGGACATCTGATCAGATGACCAAAGTTAATATTGGTTGAACGTTTACAAAAATCCTCCCCCTTCCTTTAAAAACATGTCAATCCACTTGGGAGCATTCCTACTTCATAGTAGCTAAAAAAATAAAAGAGGGGTGGGAAGGCAAAATGCAACCTTCTAGGAAAGCAACTACAACTCAGGTATATTCAATGTGTAGAGCAAGATCTAGAAGGAGTAATATTACCTTGTACCTCTTTTCCATATCCTGTGGAAACACTGTTGAACAGCTAATTTTCTCCCTGCTCATCAGTTCTGCAGCCTTCCCTGTTCACTGTGCGCAGTGCCTTTACAGAAAGGGATCTGCTCCCCACTGTTACCTGCAACAGCATGGACTAAAGAGAGCACAAACCAGCAGCAGCTGCCCATGTCTCCAGATGCAATTATATTCTTCCACAGAGGAAAAATAAATGAGTACATCAGATACTGAATGTTCACCAGGAAAATTCTACTAATTTATTAGATGTCATGTCCTTTGTAGGATAGTTTGAGCCAAACGAGTCTGCTCATTTAAGTACAAAAACTCTCAGAGTCACAGGAGATTCCAGAAATGCCAGAACCCTGAGCTCCCCTCCCTCACCACAAAGAGAATAATCTCTCCCACCCACTTCTCTGCTCAGGCCGATCACAGCATCCACAGAAGTTTTAGGGTCTCTGGCCCATCTTCTTCAGGGTTCGATTCAGCTGGAATTAGAGAAAGCAAAGGTCAGAAAAATATGTAGTGATTGACATACACTACTGTTCCCCTCAGCAGCCTTTATCCAATGCCTCTACTCCTTCCTCTCCAACTCACTGACAAAAAGAGCTCTCGCGCAAGTGCAGGCAGTGTGTGAAGTAGAAGGGGAACTAGTAAAACTCCCTCCTCCTCTCCAAGACAGCAGAGAAAGATGTGGGGAGAAGAGAAGGTGCAAACTTCTAGCAGTGGTATCACAACCCTGTATTGCTCAAATCCCCACATCTCAGGATTTTGCTGCCTAAGTTTCCAGTGTGCAGCAGCCTCTGTCAGGAGAGTAGAGCACTGACAGAATGTCACCTCCTGGCTGAGCACAACACTGAACTCACCTGTGCTCCAGAAATGTTCGAGGCCACTTTTTAGAGCCGTAGTTATGAGGGTAGAGATATGATTTTGGTTGTGTTACTGACAGGAACACCACAATTGTCTAGGGACAATGGAGTCAGTCCCTTTGGACAGTAAAATCCTCCTCCTTTTCCACTGTGGCTCAGATGAGCACTTCTCACACAAAACCATACCATTCTTCAAAGGGCAGCAGCTGCTGCTTAAACCACCTGCTTTTGCCCAGTGCCTTGCAGAGCCAGAGCTTGCCCCAGCAAGGCACCGCACAGCTGTCTCACACAAGTGTGGCTCCGCCAGGGCCTGCACAGCCCACTGCTTGCCCCACTTTTCCTAAAGAGCTACACAGCCCTCCTGCCCAGGCCTCACCTCCTCAAACTTGTGGATCTGGCGGATGAAGAAGTCCCCATAGCGTCGAGCAACCTTTGTGTCTGCGATATGGATCATGTCCTGGGGAGGGAAGAGCATGAAGTCAGGAAAAGGACTGCGCTAGCAGGAAGACAGCAAGCACTGCCAAATGTGAGGAGCAACCAGAGGGGCTTCACTCCAGCCCTGGTTCAGCATCACACATATCTGACCTGTGTTGGTCCCAGAGCAAACATTCAGTTCTCTGTGGGCTATA